GGGGGGAATGCGTCTAAAAAGGAAATGGATTCCAAACATAAAAGACAAAAATTCAAACTTCAGCCCGGAGATTGTGCCGTTAATGATGCATAAAATGAACATGTTTTTGTTCTATAGCCGCGGTAACAATGCACGCGCGTTGAGGAAATGTCACCCTTTGAGAGTTGGAAGCAATGACGTACTTTTGAGAAGTGCACGTTAATGATAGGTCGCTTTTAAGGACAGGCGGGCTAACCCAGACTTCGGGGGTTTCCAGAAATCTTCACCTACACCAAAAGTGGCCATTGACCTACCTAAAGGAGAAGTTTGGTTTCATTGGTGTGTAAATTTGTTTGGTTATAGAGAAAACTCTCCTTGTCTTTTAAAGAAAGTGAACAAGGATCAAAAAACTTTCCCTTCAATGTTCTCAAAAGAACATTTTTCGGGATAGCCCCTTGTGTTTTGTAGCGATCAAACCGTCTGGCCCAGTGGTCGCAAGTTTCTCAAGTTCGTGGTTTGGACTAAATCTATATATATAACACAGAATTGTATAAATTAAATGTTACTTATGCCCATGAATTCCTGTGTCTTGAACATTTTGCAATATAATATGTTTTTCGATCTATCTACCATTACGCACGACTCACAAGGTAAAACCCAAACAACCTAGGAAAGAAGGAGAAAATAAACCCCTTGCGTCCCGCGCGCTCATTTATGACCCAACGCAGTTGCGGGCACCCTACAACTTTTCCCAAACTAAACTAAAGAATCATCCGTTTGTTCACCACCTTTCCTCTGCTGTCTTGTAAAGCTCTAAATGTAAACACCATGGGAAGGTATTCTCATTATTTGCTTCTGTGTCATCAAACAGTTGTGGGTTTTTTTACCACTCTCGTTTTCATAAGCACATTCTACTTAAGTTGCTAGGCACACGTATACACATACAAAAACATGCAGAAACACACACCCAAACCCCCCCCCCTCCCCGACACACACACTCATGTACAAAAGGAAGAAACCATAACAAACAAACAAAAAAACAAACAAACAGACAAACAAACTGACAAACTAAAAAACCAACATATTATCTAATAAGTTTCAAACTCAATAAGAATAGAAACAAATTAAACGCATCTACCAGTAATGATGTAAACGTGGTTAGGACTTTCTTGTTGAGGAAAAATCTAATTTACCCCCTCTCTCCCCCTCCCCTTTCTGCGCCCTTTCCAAATAATTATGAGCTGTACCCACTTGTATCTTAAGCATGATATTCAGACACAGATATCAGAAGTCGTGACTCTCCACTTTTCAAATCCTGGCTTGTTTATTTTTACGGATAAAAATGTTATTATTTATGTGCCCCTGAAATCATTTATGTGAAGACTGTAAGTGTGTAATTTCTTCGTCTCTCCTGCCTTACCACTTATCATTGACATTCGTTTGACGAATTGGAAGAAATCACAGCTTTGTTTGGATGACATGTATTGGGGGTACAGACAATAAAACGATAAACAACCCATGTATTGTTCAAGGATTTACCTATCGATAGGCTGGACGGCTGCTGAACAGTAGCCCCTCAGAGTGAATTTGTTGTTCGTTTTGACTTGATAACCACTTCTTTTCTTTATTTTCTGTGAATTAAAAAAAAAAATTTTTTTT